CACATTGGCTTGAGCTTATTGTTCGAGTTCTTGAGCTGAGCTTAGAGTGGAGAGTGTATTATGGTTAGAGTAATACTGGGTTGGTTTGATTTTTGTCTTGTAGTGTATGAAATTGACTTGGTGCTAGGTTTTGAGTTCATAGTCATATATGTGATGCAGTTGACTTTTCTTTTGTTACGATCGCTCTGCTGCAGAATAATTCATGTCTAGTTTTACTTCACCCTCTATCATGTTTTTCAGCCATAAATTACTCAGCGTGGTTGTCTACGATGTTGCCTGCCACATTTTCATGGTCTCAGACTTGGACCAGGTAACATAATTTCACCACCACAGGGCGCAATCTGAAGTTACATGGCTAAAATTACTTTCATTAGATGTCTGGAAGTGAGGGGAACTTCCTGTGCTATCTTTATTCAAATCGATAAACTTTTATTTTTCTTTTCTTTTCATGATTTGGAAAACATCGAATCCAGTTACCAACGAATAGTTCTGGACATCATGGAATGTACATGCACGATCCTTGAGTGGAAATCATATGGCTGTAACCTAAATGACATATTTTATCACCTTCCATCAGAAAAAGGCTACGTTTTTACCGTAGTGTTGCGTGGTTTTGGGATTTCATCGTTATTCATGGGGTTGCTCGACACGGCAACCATCCTCAACCGTGAAGTGATTCAATGCACACTGGCAGAAATTATGTAAAATCAACGCAAATCGAGTAGGATTACCGAGACATGAGAATTTTTTGGTCATCGAATCGACCCTCATCTACACGATTGATCATGCTGACCCCCGAGCTGTCCACAACCGCAGATACACTAGACGTCTTCATACCCAACACGAACGTTTTGGCTTATCTCTATCAATCGCCACAAACCTCCCAAAAGTAATTTAATATAGTACAAGTCTATCCTTTGGTCACGTATGGGGCCAGTTCTGGGTGACAACTGCAGTGAGGTGTTGTGGTCGTCGAAATCGAGGGCATGGATGGTGGAACGACTGTGTAGATGATGGACTGCACAATTACTCAGAAGTCCAAAAAATGATCAAGCAAAAGGAATCGAACCCTCTGCCTGAGGAGTTCCACCACAGGTGTCATTGGGTGGGGGGTTTGTTTCCGAGAGATCGGAGCAACCCGATCTCGGGTTTAAAGGAATCCACGTTCTGTCGCGGTTGACCGATGAGCCATTTGACCTGGTTACTCCTTTACTCTCAGATACCTGGGTGATCCAAAGGTCGACTTGAATGTCAGCATTCCTCATTGCTACCTGCTGCCTCGGTGCTCCGGCCCGGACTAGGTGCTCAACCACCTACCCACGATCAACCCCACGACTATCCAGGACGATCCCAGCACGAGATATGAACAGCTGGTGAACACTCGCAGTTGACTCATCCAGGATTGATGGTGTATCTCACAGTCGTTCGATCCCATGACAATGTCGGAATCATGGCGGCATCCATGGACCATTCGCCGCCAAACTACCCGCCATCAAACTTGCGCAGTGCCACGTTGATCACTCAGTCCTTGCTCAACTCATGCAGGGCCTCCATCAACGCATCGCCATAGAGCCACCCACATCGGCGGCTCAAGATCCACAGCGCGGGATGTACATGACCCGGATCCATCTCGGATACGACTGATGCGCGCCAATAAGTCCCTTGGCCTGCTCGACTACCGAGACGAACTACCCGCGTGCCGTCTACTGGTCTTCTATCGACGGAAAATTCTGGAGACTTACCCTCCGTACAGAATCTTCACCAAGGAACAAAGGAAAGGACCCCGGCCAATGTCAAAACTGGGGTACCGGGTAATTGGATGATAGCACATATAGGTTGACCTATAAGGGGGGGAATATCGACGCCGAAGATCCATATTGGCAGGCGGAAGTCACAATTCGCAAAAAAACAACTTGATTACTCGTCCCTACGTCTTAGCCGAATGGCGGAAGCCAATACCTGACTAGAGCAAATAACCCAACCCGCGTGGTACATATGGCCTTTCCCCGCAATCGAGATAAAGCACTTGGCGGAGCTGGATCGGGTTATAAGTCGGGTATGTCTTCCAGAGCCTGATGGCATGACTGACTGACTACTTGCCGTTCCCATGATTGTCACTGTCACTCTATATAGGGCTGTGATCACCACAACCACGTCACAATTTTCAGCCAGCAGCGACCCTCCCCTTGAATAACACCCGAACAAGGACTTCGAAACACAACCATGTATCTCGTAACCCTCATCCTAGCAGCCCTTACCCTTCTAGCGTAGGCAACTCTCCTTTCCCATACCAAGTGAACCATACTGAGATAATACAACCACACCCAGCCACCAAACCCTCGCCCAAATACCAACAAGAACTCTCCCCACCCTCCCAACCTGGCCAACACCCACCCCAGACCCAGGAGGACTTCTCCCGGCATCATGCACCTACCGCCCGACAGCAACCTGGTATAAGACATCAGGCTGTGCGGTGACCTGCGCCACTAGTATCCGTTGCAATGCCGATTGTAAGTTCCCTTATATCGAGGATGGATTTCTTCCCGCTGACAACAAACAAAGTCCCGGTAATCGTCCCCTGCGGGTGCACAAGAGCCTCAGTGGCACCAACGACAACGTCCATCTGCCCCACAGCCTCCGACTGCCAGCAATGTACCACCAGCTGGGGGATCTATGTCACCACGCAGTCGAATTGTGCCTTGAATGCTAGGGTGACTGGCAGAGCTGAGGCAAATGACGCGCACCGCTGGAAAGAAGAGGGGATGGCCAGATATGCAAGGCCTTTGCGGGCTTGAGGTGGACTGGGGGACGGGAGGGCTAGTGGATTTGTATGATGGAGAGAAACAGATGCTGGAACATCATAAACAGAATGAACAGAGCTAGCCATTGCCGTCAATTTGACCGATATATGCGGCCGGAGGCATCCGGGGGCAGTGGCAGTTACAGACGCCAATCACGCAAGATGCTGTGCACCAGGAACAAAGCCCCATGCCAATCAAAACGGCCTTGTCTGTATGTCCAAGACAAGCCAACAAATCACCACCAGAACACCGCAAAAGACAAAAAAGAAGATGTCAGCCAAAGAAAAGAACCACTCTTGGACACTGCCAGCGATTGCGTGCTACCCGAATAAGCGGAGCCGTCCCCGAAGCCGAGATGACTCGGAACCAAGGTCGGATGACCGGTTCAAGCAGCTATCCGACCTTGCCGGGACAAACATCCATCTGGCTGTTGCACACACTTACATCAAGCGGGCTTCCGTGCCTGACCAAAACCCCTTCAACCCCCGACTCGATCTTTCCACCACACCGTGACATCTCATCATCTCAGCGATGCAGCCGCGGCAGAGCCAACAATGTGAGCACGTGGGCATGTCTCCCGCCCGCAATCCACAACGCTCCTGCTTCTTCAAGTACCGCTTGCCTCGTTTTGATTGATAACTATCCGGTATCGGGCCACGAGGTGCAAACGATCCGGAGAACTGGGAAGGCCATGCGTTTGAAACCCGATGATTCCCAGGCGCAGAATCCCGTCATCGTCCTTGTCCGCGATGACTGCGCCGACACCCTTCCTCCAACAAGCCTAGACAGCTGACGCACAATCCGCATTGTGCTCCTCTGTCCCTCCGTGATCCCCACCTCTCAGCCAAAATGAGCACTTGACCCAAGTCGTCATGCACTCGATGCCGCGAGGTCGTCCACATGCTTCCCAGCAACCCGATGACAAATGGCCAGATCGAGCACTTGCTCTCCCGACACCATACCCAGCGGGCCGCTTCCAAAACCAATGACGACAGTCGGCCCGAGCCGAATCGAACACGATGCAGACCGTTCCCCGTACAGGCGATATCGAACAAGAGGGCACTGCCTCCATCATCAACCTCCGCCAGCAGCCCGCCACCACCGTCGTAAAGAAAGAAAGAAAGAAAGAAAGAGAAAAGAGAATAAAAAATACAAGAGAAAATGGCAGAAAAAGAGAATTCAAAACAAGAGAAAAGAGAAGGAAAGAAACAAAGACCCCTATGATTGTTCGCCAGACTTATATATGGTCATCGCCAACAGCATCACTCATCGGCCAAAAACGCGTCTCGAGGCCCTGCCACTCGCGTTTCCCATTTTAACTGGCGTCACCCTCGCGTCGAGGGAACACAACATCTCAAGTCAAGGGGCGTTGGTCCAGGTTCGGTAATGTTGAATTGGCATTCCTCTCAAATGATTGGATAGTGGATCGTTGGATTTTGCCTGAAACGGCTGAATCAGGAAGACCTCGGGTATGGTAGGCTGGGCACGCGCAGTCTCGGCGGCATCATAGGGCACGAGGCTGAGGAATTATTTGATATAGGGGGTCCCCTGACGCGCGCTTCTTTGACAGGAAAACAAATTCCTGCACTTCCTTTCGACTTTTCGAGACGACGGATGGACGACTTGATGTTGGTTTTTCTTCGGCAACAGCATGCGCACACCGACGTCAGCGGCAGCTCGTACCAATCGGGCCAACAAAAAGTGTCGGAGACTCCAACACGGATTCTCGAGCTCCACTTGGGCGGTGCATTGCGTTACGAGACGCCGACCGTGGACGGCGGCGGATGGGAGATCGTTGAGCGCAAACGGCGTGTACGTACGTATCGGTGGCTTTGGGAACTTTGGTTCCTGGTTCAAGTGAGCCACAAGGGGTTTTGGGGTTATGGGGCTGGGAAACCACTCGAAAGAGAGCCGCCTCCAGCGAGACATCTGTTATCGTCATCGCCATGGCATGGCCCGGAAGGTCCGGAGTGGCGGCTCGGAGCCGGCCCGATAGCCATTGACGACATCCGATATCCGGGCATTTCCTTGGCATTTTCTTTACTCTCATCTCCTGATGTCTGTGAATGGGTTGGTTGCCCGTGTGTGGTGGGATGGTTGGAAGCTCGACTCGAACGAGACGGCTCGGGATGGCCCGTCGTCGAGACCAGAGGCAAGCGCTGTCGGTCGACGGCTTTGGAGGAAGGGGTGGTACGCATGGACGAAAAAGAAGGTCCGTCGACACGGCAGTGTTAGGGGCAAACGGTGTTCCCTCGAGACTGCATCTCGTGGGGGAACAGGAGGGGGCCACTTGGCATCAGAACGCGGAGGCAATTTGCGCCGTGTCATCAAGTGATGCACCCAGACCTTGCGCATGTTATTCCATGGCAAGGCGTCTACCTCATGCGACTTTGTCTCGTGGTGAAAGATGCTGAACACAGGTCGCCCTCCCTCGTCTCATGATGCTGCTGCTTCCTTTCGCAAGTGCAACAGTCAGCCGCCGAGGGAAATTGGATGTGGATGGACAGATGGGGGGAAACTGGGTACCACAGTTTTGACTTTGTGGCCGTGTTGCAGAGCCAGCGGGCGGACAAGCCACGGCGAGTCAATTGCTCGTGGCGTCGACCATCAATTGTGGGACAGCAAACCGGACCTGACATCATGTGCTGGGGACAACCTGGTCTTGGCACCGAGAGAGACACCGAGCTCGACGGCCTATCGAGATGCTGGACGGGAGCTCTGAGCAAGGATGGAGGTCGGACAAGAAGGTGGGAAGAGGGTGGAAATAGGGGCACAACTTTTATCACAGCATCGAAGCAGGCTCCCGATTAGGCAACTCCGACCAGGCCGACGGAAACAACACAAACCACCGCAGGGCCAAGAGCCGACGACGGAGATATCAGTCAATCACCAGGTTCTTCAGCCTTGCCTCTCGTCAGTTCCAGCTTGGTTTTCCCTGGTCCACCGGTGACCAAGTTGCACCAGCAGCACCAGCTCCGGAAGACCCGCAAACCGACTCGAGCTAGGAACGTCATTATCAGGGCGCGGGAATGACGACAAAACAAGAGCGGCGGCCGTCTCTGGCCGCCACGACGTCGGCGCCCATTTCTAACAGTGGCAACCCCTAGTGGTTTAGCCGCATCGCATCACAGGACACCGACAGATGCTTCTCGCATTCCGCCCGTTCAGCGCCCGTCTCTCCCGACGCGAACCAAACCAAAAGGAAGCGGTGCTGCTCCTTCCTCAACCAAACCCAAGCCACCCTCCCAACTACCGATCTTACCGCAATCCACTCTCGGCCGCATTGTTCCTGGAAGCATCCACAACCAAGTTGCGCCTGCCCACCGCACCAGAACCACACCAGCACCACTCAGGCCGGGTTCATTTCTGCTTACCGGCGCCCCAAAGTGTACCTTCCCGCGGGATTGACACCACCTGATCGGAAAAAAAAGGTCAACTTCAATCCCAACCAGAACTCTGGGGACTCCACGAACTCCAGACCTTCCAGCCTGCTGCCCCTGATCTTTCTCCGCTTCCCACAGAGAAGCGTGCAGAAAAGAGCGCAATAAATATCGCTTCTACGCTTCCCCGGATCTTCCTCCTGCTTCTTGTCTTCTTTCTCACCATCTCCCGCACATACTTCATGAGGTAGCCTGTCTGGCCCTTCAATTTTTAACCACTGACAACGTCACCACCATGGCGGGACCAAGATCGCTCCACGAGACGACGGACGATGAGCATTCGCCCAAGTCTGGCACCCCGGCCAACGTCTCGGCCGCTTCTCTGGCTGCCGAGCAGCGCATCACCGGCCTTGCCATCCTACTAGGCGCTGTTGCCAGTATTGGTGGTTTTATGTTTGGCTATGTGAGGTGAGTGAGATTGTTTCATCCCACGCCATCCCGCGCCCTGCTTTTTTTGACAGCTCGGCGGCTCCATATGGTGACACAAGCTGACTCCACCTGCTTCCTTGTTAGCGGTCAAATCTCGGGCTTTTTCGATATGGAAGACTACGGCAGACGCTTTGGTGAATTCAACGTCCTCACTGGCAAATACGACTTCAGCGCTCCCAGACAAGGTGCCATAGTCGGCCTATTACCGGCCGGCTGCTTGTTTGGTTCGCTCATTGCCGGCCGCATCGCCGATACCTTGGGTCGCCGCATGGCCATCTCGGTCACTGCCGTCTTCTGCTGCGTTGGAAACATCATTGAAATCTCTTCGTCGAGCTCATGGGCTCAATTCGCTGTCGGTCGCCTCGTCACTGGTTTTGGTATTGGTGCCCTCTCGGTTGCGGTACCCATGTACCAGTCCGAGTCGGCCCCTGCCAAGATCAGAGGTGTTCTTATCTCGTGCTACCAACTCTTCATCACCCTCGGCATCTGGGTTGCTGAGATGATCAACTATGGCACCCACACCATGTCCAACTCTGGCTCGTGGCGCATTCCCAACGGTCTGTCGTTCCTTTGGTCGCTCATCCTCGGTGTTGGTATCCTCTTCCTTCCCGAGTCCCCCCGCTTCGCCTACCGCGTAGGCCGCGAAGAGGAGGCGCGCAGGAGTATCGCTCGTCTTGCTGGCCTCGATGAGAGGGCCGCCTCTGTCAACCAACAAATCGATGAGATCAAGGCCAAGCTTGATGAGGAGAGAGCCGGCGCCCAGACGAGCTGGTACGAGATCTTCACTGGTCCCCGCATGCTCTACCGTACCCTTCTTGGTATAACTCTCCAGGTAACTAACCCCTGTCCCCCACCCGGATGCAACTTGAACTAACTTTGAGTTAGGCTGGTCAACAACTGACGGGTGCCAACTTCTTCTTCTACTACGGTACCACCATCTTCCGTGCCACCGGTCTTAGCGACAGCTACGTTACCCAGATCATTCTCGGTTCCGTCAACGTTGGTTGCACCTTTGGCGGTCTCTACATTGTCAAGAAGTGTGGAAGAAGAAATGCTCTCATGGGTGGCGCCCTCTGGATGATGGTGTGCTTCTTCGTCTACTCGTTTGTTGGTCGCTTCAAGCTTGACCCCGTCAACCCAGCCAACACGCCCACGGCCGGCAACGTCCTCATCGTGTTCTCTTGCCTGTTCATCGCCGCCTTCGCCACCACCTGGGGTCCTCTTGTCTGGGTCGTCACGGCCGAGCTCTACCCTGCCAAGTACCGCGCTCCTGCCATGGCCATTGCCACTGCCAGCAACTGGCTCTGGAACTTTTTGATGAGCTTCTTCACCCGCTTCATCACCGACTCGATCGGCTACCTGTACGGTCTCGTCTTCGCCGGCTGCTGCGCTGCCCTTGTCCTCATCGTCTTCTTCTTCTTGGTGGAGAGCAAGGACCGCAGCTTGGAGGAGATTGACACCATGTACATGCTCCACGTCAACCCCATCACCAGCGCCAAGTGGTCCGAGGACATGGTGCCCTCCAGTTCCGCCAGCGACGAGAAGCAGACTGCGCACATGGAGAAGAGCGACAAGCAAATCCCTTGAATTTGTCCTTTTATGATACCAACCGCCACGAAACTGCATAATAGTTTGACGGGGCATTTGCATTACGACTGGGAAGGCGACCTGGAGTCTCTCTTGCTTGCATCTCTAGAGGTCATATATTTCTCGCTCTCTTGGCCACGGCCCTGGAGAAGCATAAACATGCGTCTGTTGTAGGGATTTCTTTCTTTTGGCGGATAGGCGAAAACAATGGGTTTTGTTGGGATGTCTGTTTGCTTGCTACCCTACGGCATTGCCAAGGGCACCTAAATATACGTGTCGAGTGTACGCGCTGGCGTTTTGTGCCGTGTATGCGAGTTCCAAAGAGAGAGAGAGGACGGAGGGCTTTGGTTCAAAGAGAGAGAGAAAGAGAGAGAGAGAGAGATAGTTGTAGGGATGGAAGGAAAAAAACTTTATTTTTAATAGTTAGCAGGCCTGTCTGTCTGTCTGTCTGTCTTGTCTTGTCTGGCAAAGAAGATGAAGGCGAAGTAGAAGACGGCTTGTGGTGGGTAATATATATATTTAAATGTTCTTGCTGATTATGGATTCACGGGAATGGGTTTTTGTTTCTTTTTTGAGTGGAGGGTTAGTTTTGATAGTAAATATCGATGTTGTGGTTTGATATGAATTCGAAGCTGCTGGGTCTTTGACAAGATTTGGTACGAGGTGAAAGCTTGTAGGTAACCCGGGTGCCCGGGACAGACCTGGGACGGGTGACACATTCATTCAATGCATCCGTGGTGTGGTTCCATCTGGTGATGGGCCCAGAGGATATTACGGTACTGCGGTTGCGAGCAAAAGTAAACCCCCCTGTTCACCTTGCAACTACCTGCCAAGAACATAGCATGGGTTTAGCAGGGGGGTCGAGTTTGTTCGCATCCGCCGAGCCGGAGGACACCGGGGGTTTGATCACGGAGATAAAGAGATGAGAGAGAATAAGGTGAGTGGGGTTTGTTCGGCAGTGGAAGCGGGAGAAGAAAGTTTTTTCTTTTTTGGTTGGTGTGAGCAAGGGATCGCTGTGATTCCGGGCGGTTGCGTGCTTTTCTTTTGGTTGCGCCACTGAGGAAAGGCTTGGCAGTGGCGATGCTCGGGTACCTCAGATGCTGGATCTGGGGAGGGTGGGAGGGTTATTTATGTGCGTGTGTGTGAAGATGGGGAGGGTTGTGGGGGTGGGAAAATGGGCAGGGTTGTGTGTGGGAGACTGGGATGGTGAGTAACGTGGGAAGATATCATTTGGTGGAGGGCAGTGTGGTTCTTGGATATCTTTTAGGGGAGGTATTTGCTGGGAAAAGCCTACAAATGTGGGAAGGGGGAAAATAATGAGGGATGAAGCAAAGAGGGTCTGGACTCTATCCCCGGAACAGGCGAGGAGGGCTTATGCAATGCAATGCGGTATGCGGGCATATGTACCGGAGTATGTACATTTCCCGCTAGTAATTGCAGTAGATACTGTAGAAGGATGGGTTCGGTGTTCGGGAAGAGAAGCTCTGGAGCCAACAAGAAACGAAGAAAAAAATGTGGGAACGTGGTGATGTTTTCCCTTGCGGGTGGTAGTCATATGTCAGCGCACTGGTGGTGATCGACAACCGGTTTTTTTTTTTTTTTTTTCTGCAGACTTTTTTTTTTCAAACCTCGGTCAGTCTTTCCAGTCTAGCAGGATGGCAGGCCCAAAGTGGTTCAAAACGTCACTCAACAGCCGAGTCTTTGGCTCTTTCACTCGCCAACAACGGCCGGTCGCGACCGTTGAATACTCTTCGGGTCATGCTTTCCTTTGCTTTTGCACCCTAAATCTGTGAATTCCAAAAGTTTATATACCCCAGAACTTAAGCTCATTCCATCCCCGGATTTTTTTTGTTTCAACTCCCATCTTCCCATCGTTGCTGTGTTGGTGCATCACATCCATTGTTGATTATTGACATTCTCCCAGCCCAACCCCTGAATTTGGGTCATCCCCTGAAAAGAGACAAACAATTTGCATTGTCAACAACGCTCGGCATATTCCGCATTCTCGCTTTGCTTCACCACCAACCCACCCACCAAGCCATACGGAAGAGACAAACGCCGATATTTTCATCAACAGGGTTTTTGGCTGAAAGTGAGAAGAGAGAAAAGAAAAAGGTTTATATCCTTGGCTTGACGCCCCCCGCCTTCCCAACCCACCACCACCATCACCACCTTCCTTCCTTCCTTCCTTCTCTGCGGGGTGTAATAACCGACCAAACAAGCTCAGAGAAAAGGCTCTAAGACCAACTACTGCATCCCCATTGCAGTAGTCATTAGAGTTGCATACTTTTCTTTGGTGTCTTGCCTTTCATTCTTTTTTATTTTATTACCCTACCTTATCCATTCGTGTATAAACCACACCCCGAGACTTTACATCCCGAAACCCGGAGATCTTTGACCGAGAGAGAAAAAAGAGGGTTCCCCGGCTTTTCAGCGAGATTCTCCAGTTCTCTCTCTCCACAAATACCCAATCAACCACTCACGAATCCCAAGAATCCCCGAACAAGGAGTCACCCATCCCTCGGGGAAAGGTGTATCCACCCGGGGCCGATCGAGAACACATTTTTTCTCACAACACGTCCATTCTTTCTTTTTGGATTTCCCAATCCCTTTCCCGCTTGTTGTGCCGCTTCGATCCCTCCCATCCCCGCGTTCTCTTTGGCGCCGACCATTTGTTTTGTGTGGTTGTTAGAAAGGGCCTGTGACTTTTTCGCAAGTCCCTTTCACACACAAAAAAAAAATCAGCTCGGTCCGATTCGGCCGGGTGAGTGTGCCCGCCCCCCACCACCCACCACCCTCCACCCAACCCCGGAGCAACGGAAGAGACGACAACTACATAGGTGATCGATAATGGTCAAGGACGCAAACGAATGGCCGTCCCCGGCCGACTCGGGAGTCATGGACGGAGGTGTGACGGTTGAGAAGAAGGGACCGACAGGCGGTGATGCGGAATCGGATCAACAGGGAGAGCTGCAGAGGACCCTGTCGGCGAGGCATCTCAACTTTATCGCCATCGGCGGTACGATCGGGACGGGTTTCTTCCTGGGCAGCGGCACGGCGCTTTTGAAGGCTGGTCCGCTGGGGTGTCTGCTGTCTTATCTGTTTGTTGGGACCATGCTGTGGTCGGTCATGGTGAGCTTGGGCGAGTTGTCGACGTATATCCCTACCGCAGGTGCCTTTTCGACGTATGCGACGAGGTTTGTTGACCCGAGTTTGGGTTTTGCGGTTGGGTGGTTGTATTGGTTTGGCTGTAAGTTTTCTGGGGGTTGATATTTGGGTGTGTGGTGAGGTGTGAATGCTGACATTGTTTGAACTAGGGGCTATCACGTACGCTCTTTCTCTCAGTGCATCGGGCTTGATTATTCAGTACTGGAACGAGGATATAAACATTGGCATTTTCATCGCTGTTTTTTTCGTCATCTTTACGCTGGTCAACTACCTCCCCGTCGGCATCTATGGCGAGCTCGAAATGTGGCTGTCGAGTTTGAAGGTCATCACTATTCTTGGCTTCATCATCTTCGCCATTTGCATCGCTGCCGGTGCCGGACAGCAGGGCGTGATTGGATTCAAGCACTGGAGGGAACAAGGTCCATTTGTCGAGCACTTGGTGTCGGGTGGTGTCGGGAAATTCGTCGGCTTTTGGGCAGTCATGATTCAGGCCTCGTTTGCGTACCAGGGCGCTGAGCTTGTGGGCGTGGCTGCCGGTGAGGCTCGCAACCCCAAGAAGACGGTTCCAAGCGCCATCCGGACTACCTTCTGGGGTATCATGGTCATGTTTGTCGTCACAATCTTTCTGCTCGGCATGATTGTGCCATCCAACGACCCAACCCTCAAGGACCAGGCTGCCAACGGGTCGACCAACGCCAAGGCCTCGCCTCTTGTGGTTGCTGCTGACCTTGCCGGTGTCCCCGTCTTGCCGCACATCATCAACGCCGTTCTGCTGACGGCTGTGCTGTCAGCTGCCAACTCCAACGTCTACTCGGGCAGCCGTGTGCTTCTTGCGCTCGCCGAGGAGGGTCTTGCTCCCAAGATCCTGACCAAGACCAACAAGCATGGTATTCCAATCTATGCCGTGGCCGTCACCTCGGCCATCGGCCTGCTCGGATTTTTGAACCTGTCACCCGCCGGAGGTCAGGAGGCCTTCAACTGGCTGCTCAACATCAGCGGTGTCGCCGGTCTTACCACCTGGGGAAGCACATGTGCCTCGTTGATTGGCTTCAGACGTGCGCTCAAGGCCCAAAACGTTCCCGTTTCCGACCTGCCCTACATCTCCAAGTTCCAGCCGTTCACCGCGTGGTACGGTCTCTTTTTCAACATCCTTGTCGCCTTGACCCAAGGCTTCGCCGTGTTCATCGAGTGGAAGACTAGCGACTTTTTTGCCGCCTACATCAGTCTCATCTTGTTTGCCGCCTTCTGGATCGGGCACAAGCTCTGGTATAGGCAAGGTTTCGTCCACCCAGCTGCCGCCGACCTCTTCCGTGGGCGCTATGACTCGCACGAGGAGCGCGACGCGGCCGATGGAAAGGTGTAACGACGCGAAGGGGCCCGAGTGTTTTTGGCTTTTCAATGGTTAATTTTGGGGCTTTAAAAGACAACGGACCTTTTGGTTCATGAGGAAGCGCAGGCGTGTGGATATATGTATTGGAATGCATCATAGCGACAGTACCCTTCTGTTTTAATTCATAATGGTTTCCCACACAAAGCGCCCCGAGTCCCCCATCACAGCACCATCTTCCAGGTGACCTTTTTGCCTCTCATCAGTTCCAACACACCGACAGGCAGGAATTGCTTGTCGACCAAAGTCAGGCTTCCAAAGTCCCGCAGCAACTCCTCTGCATAGAGCTGCAAGAACCACTTCTTCTCCGAGTCAATCTCAACACCGGCAAGGAATGCCTTCAACTTGCGGCTCACGTCGGCGCTCAAGTGGATATCCTCTGTGCGAGGAACCGTCTGAAGCTCCTCGTACACAGACCGATACTTTGTCTGTGTCCTCTCGCGAAACCGGCAGAACTCTTCAAACGAGAAGAAAACATCCTGCTCCGATTCCTTGACCGCTGATGTCTCCGAGATCTCTTCAGGGGAAAGGATATTCACCAAACGCCGATAGCGATACTTGTCGTCTTCCTTCGCAAACACATTCTTTCGCTCCAGGTATGACGCGTGCTCCCACTCGATATACTCGTCGAGAATCTCACCCGGAGTCTTCGTGATGCCGTCGCGGATCAAGAACAAGCTCACAAACGGGTTTCTCAACCCCAAGCCGCCAAGTTGCTCAGGCAAAAATATGAAAGCATCAGGCAGATCCGAGACGCCGAAACGGTCGCGGAGAATCGCCTTGAGGTGCTCAACCACGCTGCCTTGCACGCCGTTCTCTGCAGGGAAAAGCCTCGCCAGCATCTTGGTGTACGTGTCCAACACCTCACTGATGTGTTCCCGTCCAAAACAGAAGGCAGGCTCGCCAAACGTGTGGCTGAAAAACCGACCAATGCAGCTGTTCCAGGTTTGAACCCAGGAGAGAACACTATTGCACTCGTCAAGCTGCTTCTTCAGCTGGTCGACATGCGCAAAGACGAGCTTCTGGTCGATGGTCCATCGTCCCGTCTCTGGGTCGAGTTGCAAGAAGCCAATGGTGACTGGCCCGGCCGGCAAGATATCAGAAACATTAGTGTCCCTGTTGCTGGCGCCTGGGAGATAGACAGACCCAGTTTTGCTCCTGTTGAACTCGAGACCAAAGACCTTGGCGAACAATTGCATGCACTCCCAGGCTTGGGCCGCTCTGGTGGGCTCACCCAGAAGCCAGATGTCGTCATGCAAGCGGTATGGCAGAATCCCAGTCTCGCGGTTGACTGCAATATCCATGAAGAACAACACCAACTCCCCAGTCAACTTCTCCGATGCGTGTGCCATGGGGACACCCCTCTTTCGAGTGCGCGGCCCAAGTTGGGGCCGGTTGTCGGAAGCCATGTCAAGGTTGAGCGGGGCTTCGAGGTATTTCTTGAAAAAGCTGATCCAGTCCTGACCAAAACCAATATATCGCATCAGGGAATAGATGGTGGTGTGAGAGAGACCTGTTCCGTACCATTGCAAGTCTGTCTGAACCAGCGCAACAGGGTTGCTGGCCTCATGGCGGTTTTCAAGAGTCACGCCGCGGAGTCGATGAATAAGCAACTCTGTTGTCAAACGTCGCAAAAGCTGCTGCTTGATGTTGGATTTCTTTGGCGTAGATGTGTTGCGATCTTGAACACTGCCATCATCGCTCCCGTCACTGTCGTCGTCATAACGGTTCATGTCGGATTCGGTGCTTGGCAGCTGCGACAGAAAGAAGGTCTCCATGTAGTCCTCCATGCGCATGTCCTCGACGTTATGCGAAGTCGGATACTCACTGAGGTAATATCTGCGCCTCTCGCTCTCAGCTGCGGTTGGGACTGTGTTGGTATCGAGATCCCTCTGGCGTACGGCCCACATGAAAATCTTCAGGGCTGGCTTGATGATGTTGCAGAGTCTCACACCTATGTACTGGACGAAAATCATTTGCAGGATATCGTCGTCGGCCCACACTCGATACTTGCCATTCAAACCCGCTCGAGGGATGACGCGGATACCGTCCTTCCCGGCGTCCCACTGCCATTGCTTGATATCAGAGAAACGCGTGTTCAAAACGTCGGCAATCTCGGCTAGGGCGACATCACTCCCCAGAAAGTCCTGGAGGATGGCTTGCTTTTCATCGCTGAGAATATCCTCAGTCAAGAGACCATTGATGCAAGTAGTGAGAGACTTCTGGTTGAACGGTGAAGCCTGGGACATGAAGGACATAGTTTCGATGGCGACAGTTTTGCGAAGCTCTTCCAAGGCTTTCAGACTCTTCTCATCAGGGAACAGACGGTCGAGGAATTTGCGGATCTCAGCATCACTCGTCTCCAGAGGCTTAAAAACGACCGATTCAAACTTGTCAACAAGTTCAGACAGCCGCTGGCGCTGGCGCTCAACAAGTTCAAAGGAATCATCAAGCCCGTCATCAGCCGCAGCAGTGGATGAAACTGCAGGCGGTTGATCCATCCATTCTAGATTGTTTGTTAGACCATATGTCGCAAAACAAAGGAGGTAAAAGCAGAGAAGTATGCTTACCTGTCAAGAGCCGCGTGTACAGATGAGCCATGTTCAACCTTCTGCTCTGGTGATCGAGCTTCTCTCGGAGCTCCCGGCCAAAGCTCATCAGCTTGGAAACGGGAATGGACGCATCGTAACGGGACTGAGCGATCCAACGCTCAACGTTGTGAAGTGAAACATCTCCATGAGCCCCTGGGTACAGTTCCCGGAAAGCGTCCAGGAGAAGGCTCAGTCGATCTTGCTCCTCAGTGGCCGCGTCGACCTGGGCAAGCAAGTCGGATTTGCGAGCTTCGTAGGACTTGTGGCGGGACTCCAACTCGCGGATCTTGCTGCGGGTGATGCTCTGCAAGGTCTTGGAGAGGACCGAGGTTGGAGAGGCCATGTTGCGAGATGGATGTCGTGGGGATAACTAGTTTGTCTTGTGAAAGTGTGGTGTATGATGTCTATAGAGAGAGGCATTGTTCCGAGGACTGGCGGGCTGGACCCTGTTATATGCTGGTTGAAACTGTGGTCCGCCATGGTGGGCATGTCGAAATGGCATGAGGACAGACATGAGGACAGGAAGCGACAGAATCAACAAGAATACATGCGAGCCTTGAGAAGGGCGTAAGTCCGAGCACAAATTTGATTGGGAAGGCGTCGCGACGCCCTATGCCTTATGCCTGTACCTGCCAAGTGCAACTGCCAAGGAGAGCCTAAGAAGGCAACAGAAAAAGAAGACATTGGGAAAGAGTGACCTGGCTTCATAGCTCTCCGTCCTCGGCTTCATATTGAGGTTGGATTGATCCGAAGTTGAGAAAGTATTTGTGAGTAGTCATCGTATGAGCCACAGAGCCGCAAGGGTGTTTGACATCTGTCCATCTCACATGGTTGACAAAAAAACAGAGACGGCCATGGTTTGGAACGAGGACTTATCCCTAAAAGACAGTCAGGAGGCATTCAAAGATAGCGGTGAATAGGCCTCAGATTATACGTATATCGGCCTTCAATGTATCTTGCAGACCTTTGAATAACTATCCTTCAACGCTCTGATTTCATGTCACTGTCTTTTTGTTATTTTGTCCAGGATGTGTCTGCCATTAATTAGCTTTCAGGTGGGGTCTCAACATCCCGGCAGGCAATGTCATCAACCTCAAGGCCAGGGTTCTCCGCAAGCAGCCAATTCAACAAGACCCACCTTGACAAGCTCCGACAACGGCCAATGACTGGGCTGTCAATGGAATCACAAACATGAGCTTCGTTTATGTATGGATAGTTTCAGTCAAAACTGTTGAGCCCGTCAAGAAGAAAGGAAGAGACACCATAGCTCTCCGGGTTATTTATTCCCCTCGAGACATGCTCGCTGGCCATGTGTCTCAACGTCTTGAAGAAAAGGAGGGGCATTTTGGTCGGTGTGAGACCTCAACCCGTCCGCCCAAACGGCAGCTTTGTGCTCGCCCGTACAGTCGGGTAAAGACAGTCCCGAGGCTCGGATGCTGTCCCGTCGTCGTGGGGGTTGCTTCATTGACCGTGATTCCTGTGCTCTTTGTACACATGTACACGGATTTTGATATTGAAGAGAAACCGAATCATCGGAACGCGATCCGAATGTTGAGGCTGCCCACTCGGTGCTACCCTGTCCTGTCATCGGAGGGGTTGATCCGCTTAAGTTTTTTTCCCCGCTACCAGCTGGGAAGCTCCCCCTGGCTCCCGCTGGGCTCTGGACAGCACCACCATAACTGATCTGCCCACCCGTTTGCGAGAGCCTCAACTTTTCCCCCAAGCTGTGCCGGTCCTTTCACAACTACACGCGCATGCCGGGCGCAATTCAGCCCCCAACAACCCATCGAGCACAATGACAAGTTCTACCGGGTCGGGTCCCACGCGGATCTCGATTTTGGGCAAAGACGACATCATCGTCGACCATGGCATCTGGCTCGACTTTGTGACTCACGACCTCCTCCAAAACATCCCCTCGTCCACCTACGTCCTCATCACCGACACAAACCTCCACGACACCTACGTCCCTGCCTTCCAAGAGGTATTCGAGAGGGCTGCTGGTCAAGATGCCCGCCTCCTCACCTACACCATCCCTCCCGGCGAGTACTCCAAGGGCCGCGAGACCAAGGCCGAGATCGAGGACTGGATGCTCTCCCACCAATGCACCCGTGACACCGTCATCATCGCACTTGGTGGCGGCGTTATTGGAGATATGATCGGATACGTGGCAGCCACCTTCATGCGTGGTGTACGCTTCGTGCAGGTCCCTACGACACTGCTCGCCATGGTCGACTCGTCCATCGGCGGCAAGACGGCCATTGACACCCCCATGGGGAAGAACTTGGTTGGTGCCTTCTGGCAACCACGCCGCATCTACATTGATCTTGCCTTCCTCGAGACTCTCCCCGTGCGTGAGTTCATCAATGGCATGGCCGAGGTCATCAAGACTGCTGCCATCTGGAACGAGACCGAGTTCACCGCCCTCGAAGACAATGCCCCTGCCATTCTCGAAGCTATTCGTTCCAAGCCCACGGGGACTGGTGCTCGCTTGGCTCCTATTCGTGACATCTTGAAGCGCATTGTTCTGGGCTCAGCCGGTGTCAAGGCCGAGGTTGTGTCGGCTGATGAAAGAGAGGGTGGGTTGCGCAACCTGCTCAACTTTGGCCACTCCATTGGTCATGCCTATGAAGCTATCCTGACTCCCCAGGTGTTGCATGGCGAGTGCGTCGCCATCGGAATGGTCAGGGAGGCCGAGCTCGCCCGTTTCCTTGGTGTCCTTCCTCCCGGTGCTGTCGCTCGTTTGACAAAGTGCATCGCCAGCTACGAGTTGCCCACCTCTCTTCACGACAAGCGCATCGTCAAGCTGACAGCTGGAAAGGAGTGCCCTGTCGATGTTCTCTTGCAAAAGATGGGTGTCGACAAGAAGAACGACGGCCGCAAAAAGAAGGTCGTGCTCCTGTCGGCCATCGGCAAGACGTACGAGCCCAAGGCTACCGTGGTGGAAGATCGGGCTATTCGCATCGTCCTCTCTCCATCCGTCCGGGTGACTCCCGGCGTGCCAAAGGGTCTCAATGTTAGTGTCACTCCCCCAGGATCCAAGAGTATCTCCAACCGCGCTCTTGTGCTCGCGGCTATGGGCGAGGGAACAACTCGTATCAAGGGTCTGCTCCACTCCGATGACACGCACTACATGTTGACTGCCATTGCTCAGCTCCAAGGTGCCACTTACACGTGGGAAGAGGCAGGTGAGGTCCTTGTCGTCAAGGGCAGAGGAGGAAAGCTGCTGGCCAGCAACGAGCCTTTGTATCTCGGCAATGCGGGCACCGCCTCTCGCTTCCTCACATCTGTTGTGGCCCTCTGCTCGCCCACCGACACCACCACATCCACTGTCCTCACTGGCAATGCTAGAATGAAGGTCAGACCAATCGGCCCGCTTGTCGATGCCCTTCGGTCCAACGGTGTGGCTGTCAAGTACCTGGAGAAGGAAAACAGCTTGCCAGTTCAGGTGGACGCTGTTAGCGGTTTCGCTGGTGGTGTGATTGAGCTGGCTGCCACCATCTCGTCGCAGTATGTCTCTTCAATCCTGATGGCGGCTCCCTACGCCCGTCAGCCAGTGGTGCTCAAGCTGGTTGGAGGCAAGCCCATCTCTCAGTTCTACATCGACATGACCATTGCCATGATGGCTTCCTTTGGTGTCAAGGTCGAGCGCGATGCTGAGGACCCCAACACCTACCATATCCCCCAGGGTTCTTACAAGAACCCCGAAGAGTACGTCGTGGAAAGCGACGCTAGCTCGGCCACGTACCCCTTGGCTGTGGCTGCCATTACTGGCACGACCTGCACCATCCCCAACATTGGCCGCACATCGCTCCAGGGAGATGCTCGCTTTGCCGTCGACGTCCTCCGCCCCATGGGCTGCACGGTCGAGCAGACCGACACCTCCACCACTGTCACCGGTCCCCCTGTGGGAGCCCTCAAGGCCATTCCTCACGTAGACATGGAACCTATGACAGATGCCTTCCTAACAGCCTCTGTCCTTGCTGCTGTTGCTTCAGGAACCACACAGATTACTGGCATTGCCAACCAAAGAGTGAAGGAGTGCAACCGCATCAAGGCCATGAAGGACGAGCTGGCAAAGTTCGGCGTGCACTGCTCCGAGCTCGAGGATGGTATTGAGGTCACCGGCAAGCCTTACAAGGAGCTGGCGAACCCCGAGCCCATCTACTGCTATGACGACCATCGCGTTGCCATGAGCTTCAGTGTTCTCTCCGTCCTGGCTCCCCACAAGGTTCTCATCTTGGAGCGTGAGTGCACTGCCAAGACCTGGCCAGGTTGGTGGGACATTCTGTCTCAAAAGTTCAACGTCCATCTCGAGGGCGAAGAAGACCCTACGAAAAAGTGCACTGCCAAGTCTTCTCGTCCCAGCACCGACCGGTCCATCTTTATCGTTGGGATGCGTGGTGCTGGCAAGTCTACTGCCGGCCGCTGGATGTCGGATATCTTGAAGAGGCCATTGATCGATCTTGACGTGGAGCTCGAAAAGAGAGAAAAGGCTACGATCCCAGAAATCATTCGCAGCGAGCGAGGATGGGAAGGGTTCAGAAAGGCTGAGCTGGAGCTCCTTGAAGATATGATCAAGAACAACTCCAAGGGCCACGTCTTCTCTTGTGGCGGTGGTCTCGTTGAGACAGAGGCGGCACGCAAGCTGCTCATTTCCTACCAAAAGAATGGCGGCTCTGTTCTCCTGGTTCACCGGGACACTGACCAGGTTGTGGAGTACTTGATGAGAGATAAGACTCGCCCTGCCTACTCGGAAAACATCCGTGAAGTCTACTACCGTCGCAAGCCATGGTTCGAGGAGGTCAGCAATTTCCAGTACCACAGCCCGCATCACAATGGCTCTGAAGAGGCGCCCGAAGACTTTAGCCGCTTCTTGTCAGTCATCAGCGGCAGCTCTACTCACTTTGAGGATGTCTTGGCCAAGAAGCACAGCTTTTTTGTCTCTCTGACCGTCCCTAATGTGGCAAAGGCACTCGACATCATCCCCAAGGTGGTTGTCGGGTCCGATGCTGTGGAGCTGCGTGTGGACTTGCTGGAGAGCTTGAATCCAGAGTTTGTGGCAACTCAAGTCGCGCTTCTTCGGTCTGCTGCAAAGATTCCTATCGTCTACACAATCCGTACAATCAGCCAAGGGGGTAAGTTCCCCGATGATGACTACAAGCGTGCGCTTGAGCTCTACCAGATCGGTCTTCGGACAGGAGTTGAGTATCTCGACTTGGAGATGACCATGCCAGAGGATGTCCTCCAGACTGTGACCGAGACAAAGGGCTTCACCCACATCATCGCGTCTCACCACGACCCCGAGAACAAGCTGTCTTGGAAGAATGGCGGGTGGATTCCTTTCTACAACAAGGCTCTGCAGTACGGAGATGTCATCAAGCTTGTGGGTATGGCCCGCGAGGTTTCTGACAACTTCGACCTGACAAACTTCAAGATGAGGATGCTGGAGGCGCACAAGAAGCCCATCATCGCTTTGAACATGGGCACCGCGGGCAAGCTTAGTAGGGTGCTCAACGGATTCTTGACCCCGGTCTCTCACCCAGCTCTGCCATCTAAAGCGGCACCTGGACAGCTCTCGGCAGCGGAGATCAGGCAAGCATTGTCTCTCGTTGGCGAGCTTGAGCCAAAGTCTTTCTATCTGTTTGGAAAGCCCATCTCATCCTCGCGCTCTCCTGCGCTGCACAATGGACTGTTTGCCCAGACCGGCCTTCCTCATCAGTACTCACTGTTCGAGACAGACGTCGCTGCTGATGTCAAGGACATCATCCGGTCTGCCGACTTTGGCGGTGCCTCTGTCACCATCCCGCTCAAGCTCGACATCATTCCTTTACTGGACGAGGTATCAGACGCCGCAACCGCCATAGGAGCCGTGAACACCGTCATCCCCGTCTCCCCAGAGGGCAGTGACAAGACCATTCTCCGCGGAGATAACACCGACTGGATGGGCATGGTCTTTTCTCTCCGGCAAGCCGGTATCGCCCCTCGCACCAAGACCAACCCGGGCGCCGGCATGGTGGTCGGATCAGGCGGCACTACTCGCGCCGCCGTCTACGCCCTCCACGACCTTGGATACTCGCCCATCCACATTGTCGCCCGCAGCCCGGATCGCGTCAAGGCGATTGCCGACTCCTTCCCTGAGGACTACAACATCCAGACCTTGTCCACGCCTGAGGAGGTCAAAGCGGCGACGGATGCCCTCCCGACGGTGGTTATTAGTAGCATCCCCGCCGACAAGCCCATTGACCAGAGCATGCGCGAGGTGCTGGTTGCTTCGCTGAGGCACCCTGCCAAGTCGGAGAAGGAGCCGCGGGTGCTGCTGGAAATGGCTTACACGCCTCGCCACACGCCACTGATGCAGCTGGCGGAGGATGCGGGGTGGAAGACGATTCCCGGGCTGGAGGTGCTGGCTGCTCAGGGTTGGTATCAGGTATGTTTTTATTTTGCTTCTGACACCATCACAATTGCTAACATGCACACTAGTTCCAACTCTGGACAGGAGTCACCCCCTTGTACGCCGATGCTAGGGCTGCTGTGATGGGGGACTCGGAGTGAGCCATGCATGGACGAGGAAGAATAGAGGCTCTGTTGATCAACTCGACGAGTGTGTCTATGGCCGGGCTGGGTTTCTATTCTTGTTGGGGTCTGGGCTGGGCTGTGTGTCAAAAATCGAGTAAGAAAAAAGCGAGTAATGGGCCGCGTGTCGTGTTTTTGGTTATGTGTCAGAAAGACAGAAAAGTTAGCTACAATTTACGAGAGTTTTCTTTAATGGGGCAGGCAGCAGGTAATGTGTGTCAGGTGATGGCTCGCTTCCTCAACTCGCATAGGAATTACTGGTGATGTTGGGGCAGTGTTGTTGGTTCCAGGCCCGGTGTGGTGGTTGACCCAAACTTGGAGGTCCCATAGTTAGGTTGGATTGTTGGACAAGCTGGACAAAGTTAAAGATTGTGGTCTGTTTGTTGATACTAGAGAATGTAACCTCACCACTCCATATTTCTTCCCGACATAACCCTCTCGGGCTTGACACCGGCTTTCGTGATAGGGCAGGCCATCATGGCCTGACTTGACAACTGGTCTACAGCTGCAATCTGCATCTGCATCTGCATCTGCATCTGCATCTACATCTGTTTCAATATTCTAATGCGGGTTGAGGTTGGCTCCTGTGACCATGGGCGTTTGTTCAAAACGATGAATTGACATGTCTTGGCGCGGTGGCCTAAGCCTCGTTATTATTGAGGTGTGGAAGGGGACGGATAACCGCGGAATTTATTGGGAATGATTTTGGGTTAATTTGTCAACAAAGGAAATGCAACATGAGGATTTCTCGGGTTCGGGATGCGAGGCTTTGCAGTTATTGCTGGGAGGATGGTTTATTACTGATGATAGTGTAAGGTGGGGTTGGTGAGGTCTCGATTCGTTGCTGCCCTGGGCTGATATCACGGATCGCGCGCCGGGGGGGGGGGGTTGGGTTTGCACAGCAACAAGATGGGTGGGGGTTGTGATGAATGGTTGGAGCATTTCGTTGCAAGTTGTTTGGGGAGAATGAACCTCCGATTCTACTGAATTTGGATTCTCGTGAATGCAGACATCATCACCCAAGACCCATTGTGGAGATGTCTGTTAGTGTAAGTGAGGGCATCATCATCATTGTTGCTCAAAAGTACCAGATACATACAATCCCAGGTTACATCTGTTGAAGCTAGGTAGATTTTGGGGGGGCATCTAGAACCGGTAAAGGGACCGACCCCGCCCGCCATACCTCATGTGTCGTGCATTCATTCCACTCTACAGCGTCATTCCCCTATCCTATACCTATCATCATAGTTATCCTCTCAAGAGATGGAGAGATCTTCGGAGATACCACAACGTCACTAACCCACACCTTCCGACCCCCCCTTT